TTCTAAGAAGAAAAATTAAGCAAGACTTGCTGGGAAATGTAAAGTCTTAATGAAACTAAGTAAGTCATCTTCCATTTAGGTGCTCAAGGAAACAAACATGCCAAAAAAAAAGTTCCGTTCCAATGTTAATTTTTTCAGCAGAAATGCAATCTAAACAGTCTTTTCGCACTACTTTTGCAGAAACAAAATAATCCAACATTGAATACTCAAAGTCTCAAAATCAACTATTCATTGATAGTTCGAATATGTAAAAGTGTTACTGCTCCAAAAGTAATCTCATTCCTTGCTTTAATGTTTTTATAAGGGTAATTCTATCAGTTTCTTGATGATTCAAACAGAATATGAAGTTTCAAAGTTTCTTAAAATGATGAGCTAGAATATGAATAAACCCAGTAATTTTTAATTCATATGATACATGTTTACTTTGATTTTTTCCCCTTGATACTCATTCTGACCTATATTTCATAAATCCAGATGAAAACATGGGAAATGACAAATGCTGTAGTAATACTAGCAGTCTAAGGATTAAAATTATGGTTTTATTTAAGCTTTATATCCAAAATCTGTTCCTGAGCTTGCCACAGCTTTGAAATTGTTCCTCAATACACCAGCAACCAATAGCTACAGATAATTTTTAAAAACTCATGAAAACACTCACCTTGCTGTCTCCCTCCATTCTGCGTCCTCTCCTTCACGCCAACAAATTTCATCAAGCTCAGTAAAGAGATCATGAGGAATGTGTTCCTCGTCATCATCTTCTGTTCCAAGAATAAACTGCACCCTTTGTGATGGGGTATCTGGGGAAAAATAAAAATATCAAATCCAGAACACCAATTTTTTTTGAGCAAGCAAGTATCTAAAATTTCATGAGATATTATCCAGACTCTCTCATCCATATCACTTACTGCCACACAGAAAACATGATTATCGTTACGCTGTAAGAACATTTATACACAAACACCTTCAGATTGAGACCTCTACTTACTGTAGTTGGCTAGTCTGCTGATTAAACAAACTCATCTAAAGATAGAATGTGATGTACAGAAGTAGTGACTATTGGAAGCTGGAATGGTATCTCACAGAAAAAAGGCAGCACAGAGAGCAGCATAGATAGAACTGATAAAAGTCTTTTACTCCAGTGTTACAAAAAATACTTTGCCACAACATAAGTCTAAATCTACAGATCTAACTCAGCTCATAAAGCTGGTGTACTAAATGTGCATTTTTTGTTTTACCTAGCAGGAGAAAGAAAGCAAAAGAAACCTCTCTAATGTCAATATACAACTGGGAACTTCGAAAATAATACATCACTATCTACACCTACCATCCCCTGCCCCTTTGTAAACTGTTTCTACACGCTTAGGCCGTCCCAGACGAACAAGTTGTTTACCTGTCCCAACTTCCCCATTTTATTCTTCCTGTCTCTGTCTTCCCTTTACATTCCTGTTAGCAGTTATTCTTCTTCATAACCTTTCAGTGCAGACCACTAAATATATTTTTGAGACATACTGTTCTTTTTTTCATATCACTCAGAAAATTTCCAGAACTCACAGAGCACCTTAACATACATGTATATTCAGTGTTCATAGCTCAAATGTAAGTCTTTAAAAAAAAAAAAAACCACACCCAAAAAAACCAACAAAAAAAACCCTATTTGCTTATTTAAATGCAAATCTCAAATGAACAAACTCTGGATAAAACCCAGTCTCTCTAGAAATACATAGTTATGTTTTCTTCTAATGTATTTTAAATTTCTGAGAGGAACCAAAAGTCCTTTGTGAGAACTGATGGGACCAGGCTGCCAGTCAACCGAAAAACTGATTATCCAGCAGAACAGCTCAGCAATTCCTTGAACATAGTCTAAATGAAATTCTGTTCTACAACCGTATTTGTAAAACAAGCTACAGTATTTTCCATCTAGCAGTGAAGAGCATCACTGCATAGGATCCTCAAGCTCTCTGATTTTTGGAAAAAACTGAGATGATAGCACTCATTGAGTGCTAGTTAAAGAGGAAATACAGCACTGATCAAAAATAATTAAACGGGCCACTGATACAGGAGATTAAATTTAGCAGTAAAGATACTTTTTTTGGTAGTAGTAGTAAACTTGCTATAGCAATGAAACACAAGCAATACATGACAGTTTTCACCTGAGGTCTATTCGCTTAAACAGAATGTAAAGATACAATACGGTCAAGCGTACTTACTCCTTCACAAAGCAAGGAAATGAAACCCAGGAAGAAGTACAGGAGAGAGAGAGAAGATGGGCTCTGATACTACTAAGCTCTAGAGAATGGAACTGCAGGGGGACAGCTAAGAGGACAGAAGTTACTTTTGGTAAATCATTAAAGAACAGCAACAACCTCCTCCACTTCACCCTTTCTTTTATTACTCTTCTCCCTCGCTGTTCAGTCCTCTTTTTACTTTAAGACCATTTCAACCTTTATTCCAGATCCCCTTCCAGCTTCTCTCTACCTATTTTTTTTAAATTCTTTATGTTCCTCCTATCCACATGTTGGTACATTCTAGAGAAAGATAAAGTAAATACGAACACCAAGATTTAATCTGAGACTAGAAAGTACATTCTGGTCAAGAAGTGTGCCACTTGTTAAGACTATTTCCCAGAAAGACAAAATTCAGCGAGATATGAACTTGCAAAGGACAAGCACATATGACTAGTGACGGAACATGGAAAACAAGCTACTTTGGTAGAAAGAAAGATGGACTGCAGTGAGAATCTGAGAATAAGCATTGCCAAGAACATCCTGTACTCTTGATAAAATCAGCAGAACTGATTTACAGCAACAGCTACTGTTAAGTAATAAATGAGTAGTGTTGTACAGCAGAGCTGCAGTTTTATGACAGTTATGATACTCATGCAAATGCACGCTTTCAGCGTGGGAAGGAAAGCAGAGGATAAGAAATCCCTTGAAGTCAGGTGAGTAGTAACAAGGAAACACTCTACTGCTGTGACTTGCTTTTACTGGGTCTTCTGTGTAGCATACAGCTACTTGACTGACAACAGTGAAGAATCTCTAGAAATGACAAAATACACACTAAATTCTCTTCTTCCTTGTTAACACACCAGTAAAACTAGCTGCTAGCGTCTGGCTATCTTGTTTTGCTGCCGTAATTTGTATTGGTGTCTGAAACCTGCAAGCAACAGCTTGATTTTCAGACACTAAGCTGGAAATGAAACTGGTGGTGAAACACTGGCACGGGTTGCCCAGAGAGGTATGGGGTGGATGCCCCATCCCTGGAAACATTCAAGGTCGGGTTGGACGGGGCTCAGAGCAACCTGATCTAGTTGAAGATGTCCCTGCCCATGGCAGGGGGGTTGGACTAGATGACCTTTAGAGGTCCCTTCCAACCCAAACCATTCTATGATTCTACGAAACTGGAAAAAAAAAGTTATTATTTGCTATATGGCACAACAATTTTATTTCAAGGACAAAACCCTAAGAGAATTAAACAATAGGAACACAATAAAATAAAAAAAAAAAAAACAGATCTGTTGGTTCTACTTACAAAACTGAGTTAACAGCATTACTCATGTGAGCAATGCCAGATGGATCTGGCTCTTATTCATAGGAGTAATAAATACCAAATATGTCACTAATGTGTTATACGGAAAATGAGTAATATGAGATTCAAAAACAGTATGAAACAATACTTCAATTGGTGACTGTCAAACTGTGATAACTTAATCCTCAGTGTAGAAGCATAATATTTGCAAACTAGGACACTCAAATTTTTTTGAAGTCTAGGAAAACAGAAATGGCTTGAATATTATCTGTGCCTATCCCTACTTCAAGTAGTACAGCCAAAGTAAAAAAAAATCCTTCATATTATTATTGCTATTTCTAAAAAGTAATGGAAGTAATCAAGATTAAGCTAAAAAAATTAAATGAATGGGATTAATTTGTTACATTAGTATTTCTATCACTGCAGTTGTTTTATACCAGAGCACAGAGATATTAGAAGGACCGCGAATTTAAATAAGCAGCTGATGATTCTCCCAAGCAAATGGCTCATCACCAGTTCAGAAAATCCTCCAGGACCAGCTGGGACTGGGAGGAAAGTCTGGTACACGACAGGAGCAGGAGTACCATCAACAACCACCCGTGCTTGGCTAATGAGCCATCTCAGTCAGGAAAAGTTGAAGCAGCTTTCTGTTGCTGTGGCTCCACCAGCCCATGGGAGCCTCCTGCCAGACTCTGTGTTATACCTGGGTTTCTCTGGGCTGGTGCTCACATCATCCGTGCAGCACTCACAGACACATTCAAACTACCTCTCATACCTCAAATTCATCGCATGCATGGAAAACCTGAGTATTCCAGGTTTAAAAATCTGTATAACTCCACTGCACTGTTAAAAGGGTAAAATTTAAGACCTGGTGGACACGCTATTGTCAAAAGCACAAATTCACACTGGGATTCAGTGCTGCAGAAAGGAAGTGACCTTGCAGCAACCTGACATACTGCTCACTACTATGACACTTTGTAAAGTCATTAACATCCCTAAAACAAAAGCAAGATATGGGCACAGACATGCCAAAACAGCAGAACTGAAAGCCAGAACTGCTAATAACCTAATTCCCAGAGGGCAACACAAAAAGCTGCTCCCTGGAACAGCGCTGAGTGCAGGCAGGGGGGAACAGTGGCCTACATCACCATTCTGCCTTGCAAAACACACGTAGGAAAGAATCGTAACTGGCATTTCCCCCATTTAAAACATCCCCAAGTGCAACTACAATTCTGGGTCAGGACTGCTCCCTCTTATCTAAGGGAACAAGGTGAAATCAAGACTTGGGCTAGGGTAAGAAAGCAGAATCATCCTCAGTCCCCCACATAAATTCAGCCCAGCAAACAACCTGCTCCCCTGCACCGTTCAGAGTGATACACGTCTCCTCCCCAGTGCGTGCCAGGGTTTCTCCTGAGACAAACCGCCCTGCCATCAGGCAGAACTGCACGCAATCTGCCCAATTCATACCACAAGCAGAAACACAGCCTTGGGTACATATAAAGTGTATTCCAAATTTTTTCCTCTGCTCTTGATAAACTCTAGAAAGGGTGCAAAATGTATTTCTGGTAATACTCTATTAGCTCAATTGTCAGAACAGGTTTCTGTATTTCTAAGCCTGTTGAGAACCTGCATTTAAGGGCAGTATTAGCAGGCTAATACTTCTTATTGGGGTCAGTAGATGTAGGGGTGAAAAATTACTTTTTCTACATTAGAAAACATGCTAAACATTAACATAAAATTTACATTACAGAAGTTCACGTAAGATAGTAAACATCATAGACAAGATTTAATCCATGCCTCGTGCTCTTGTACATTCACATTAAAGTAATATTAAATATACAAACTTTTTTTTTTTGATTGCTCACTGCACAGGACGGGCTGCAGACAGGGAGTGAACTGGTGTAACACAGTTGACATCCATAACAACTCCTTTCAAACAAAGGGGAAATGGTGTGAAAAATTCAAAGGATCACAGAAAAGAAAGGACCATTTCACACACAGACAAACATTCATCATCCTCCTGCTTGTGCTCACCAAGGCAGTGGTGGATGGGGGCTCTCCCCCCACCTCCTTCTTGTGCAGATTGGACTTTGCCCTTCAGCTTAGCAATCAGTAAAAGTAGGGATCATAAATTACTTTTTTTAAATTAGAAAACATGGTAAAAATTAAAACAAAATTTACATTACTAAAGTACACATAAAATAGTAAACAGCCATACAGCACACTTCTGAAAATCTCTTCACAGACCCCAGAAACCATGTGTTAGGTTGGG